TTGTATAATGCACGCTTTTCCACCTGCCTCATGTGAATGGCTTATTTTGTTTTTCTTTGAATAAGTTACGAGATTGTTTCTCATGGTTGTAAATCATTTTATTTTTTTTAAGAAAATGCTCCAGTCTATTCGTGGGGAGCAACATGTGCTAGGAACCGGACCCAGCATTTCATTCGACTAGAGATGGTCCTAAATCCTTTGCTCGTTTTGACAAAAAAATCATTGATAGGATTCCACAGTCTTGTTTCAATCGGATGGTGTTTTCTTATTCACTCCAGTTCCATATCGATAAGTGTGGCAGGTGTGCCCCATTTACTCACATTGTTTCCAAGAGCTCCCCCTACTCTCTCTCTCTCTCTCTCTCTCTCTCTCTCTCTCTTGTTGACTTGTTTTTTTTCCCTTTTGTTTTTTCTTTCTTTCTTTTGTTGACTGATTGTATGGGCGTTTCATCTAAAAAACTTGACGGTGGCAGACATGTATGATGTCTTTGTTACAAAAGAGGGAGAGAGAAAGGTGGTGGGTTGTTTTCAGTAATGGTGTTAAAATCATACACACTCTGGATACACCCACTGTCAACTCTGCTAACCCCTCTGGAGTCTATTACTAATAACTAGCACTAACTGCATGGGTCCTGGGGACCATCTCACGCAAGTGTGTTCATGCCATGCATCGTACTCCCACACACAATGAACAGTAGTCTCACAATAGACAAAGATAGAGAAGATGAGGACCGAGTTTCACAGCTTATATTATCAGAAATATGAATACAAAGTGTTTCAAAGTTCCCCTGAGTCCAGCGCTCATCAGCACAACACCAATATCTTGCCAACTCATCAATATGACTTCAAGTGAATCAGTGCTACCCCTGCAGATAGTCTCCAAGTCATCAATGTGGTCACTACTCATCAGTGCCACCTCTGCAAGTCACATCCAACTCAGGTAAGTATCTTCCATAGCCAAACCTTGAAGGAACACTCTCAGCCTCGATCCCTTCCTCCTATGATGCATACACACTCTTTAATACTCATGAGGATCTACTCTGGATACTACTCATAGCTACATACTAACCCTCTACAATTAATGCTAACTCGCTGGGCAGCTATGGCTGCATCACTTCCAGCGTAGAGGCTTTTTCCTCCCTCCAGCGCGTCTTCTCCTCCAGCGCTGCTCCTCCTGACTCAGCGCACAAGTGCACCARCACTTCCACGCATTGCAGCCAGTGGAGATCTGGCGAGGAATGAGGCAGGCAGCTCTTTTTATAGTGCTGGCCACTCCTCGCTGGGTCTGCATTGGCTCAATTCAGCCTCTCCCTTTGTCCCAGACCCTGCATTGCATGTGTCCCAGTACAGTCGCAATGAGGTTCAACTGCTGCTGAGGCACTTCGGTCTGGACTTGGACTTGAAAGTCTGGATCTGGACTGACCCCTTGACTTAGACCAGAACTGGGACTGTGCCTACTGACTTTTTTTTCGGACAGGCACAACTCTAAACGAACAGACACATTTACTACTTGAACAGGCACTTTCCATTGCATGAACAGGTACACTGCCCGCACGTACAGACACACCCTTACCCGAACAGACATGACATACACATCTCTTGGTGAACAGGTAAGTCTTTTGACAATGCCCTTTGCCTTAGATTTAGATGTGCCTGTTGATAGAGAACTTGACCTTTGACCTGCTTTCACGTTTCTGAGCTCTGGCGAGATACAAGTCTTTTGACAATGCCCTTTGCCTTAGATTTAGATGTGCCTGTTGATAGAGAACTTGACCTTTGACCTGTTTTCACGTTGCTGAGCCCTGGCAAGATACCTTTTCACAATGCTTTACTTTTACAAGGTCCGTGCTGCTCTATTTTCACAAGGTCTGAGGCCTATATCGGGTAAAGGCCCTTTTACTCTTGCCGGCCTAGTTTCGAAGTCCTCTGAGAATCATTTACCTATCAATGATATGAATTCCTCTCTTTGCACTTTCGTATGCAGACACAATATGAGGTGCATAATCTAACAGTTCCTCTCTTGTAAACCARCGATMTTCACTAGGATCTTGATATGCAAACCTTACTTTATACTGTCGCTGTGGTCTGCCTCTACGTCCAGTGTGGTAAATACTTTCCGCAACAATTTTACCCACGTCATACTTCCCATCCATACTTGGAGGTATCGTTGACCGGCGACTTGGGAAGAGCTCATTCGTTACACAAGGTAAGAGCTTGGATGCATGGAACACTGGATATGTACGTAGATGAGGAGGAATCTCAATGGCATACGAAGGACCATCCACATCTCCAATTACGTCTAGAACCTTCCAAGGTCCTCGGTAGGTGGGTAGAAGCTTCTGAGAGATGTTCTGTTCAGGAGCAAACTCTTTAGACTTCATCCAAACCAAATCTCCTACAACAAATTGAGATGGGCGTCTGTGTTTATTTGCCTGTTCAATCATTTGATGTTGTGCTTTAAGTATATTTTCTTTTACTTTCTCAATGTCTTTCTGATATTGGACTGCAAACTCACTAGTCCCTACAGGAAGCTTATGTACTTTATCCGGGTTCAATCGATCAATGGGTCTGCGTGGACGCCATCCCAGATGTAACTCCATAGGAGTCTTGTGTAGGAGCGTAACAAGGTCCCATAGGTCTTCTTCCACCCAAAATGACCTTCTGTATCATGACATTCCCCCAAGATCATACTCTTGATCTCCTCATTATTCGGTATACACAGCCTATCATGCACGTCAGTTCGTTCAAACAATAGACCCTGAGTCACTTTATGATCGGGAAACTCTGCTGGTTTTTCGTGCACTAGCTTAATCATGGTTCCATAAATAGGATCAAAGGGATGCACATTCCTAATCTTTTCTTGTAGGTCAGCACACACATCTAAATAAGTCACAATAACATCGAAAAAGTCTGATCTACGACTTAGTGCATCGACAACAACGTTATACTTACCCTTGACTGGCTTCAGCTCAAAGTCAAACATATCAATCTCTGCAGCCCACCTTGTTHACTTAGGTGTCATTCGAGCTTGCGTTTTAAGCCARCGAAGTGTTTCATGGTCAGAGTATACTTTAAAATGCCTGCCTAGAAGGTAGTGTCGCCAATGATTGAGAGCCTCACGCAGAGCATACAACTCTCGTTCATACGTTGAAGCGGCCACCTTCTCGTTAGGTAAGCGGCAAGACATAAACTCTACAGGCCTGTACCCATGCCCATCATCTTGCTGGAGTACAACACCTATACCATATTGACTAGCGTCGGTTGTAACCACGAAAGGTAAAGAAGGGTCTGCCACTTTCAGAACCGGATAGTTAATCAAACACTTTTTTAGACGCTTGAAGGAGATCGTACAGTCTGAGTCCCACTTCCAAATTACTTCTTTCTTAAGCAATCGGCGAAGGGGAGCAACTATTATCGTAAAGTGTCTTACGAACTTTCGATAATAGTTGGCTAACCCAAGGAACGMCCGCAACTCAGTCAAGGTGCAGGGGTTTGGCCAATCTCTGATTGCTGCTATTTTGACATCTTCCGGTTTGACCCCATCTCCATCAATCACATGTCCCAGGTATAACACCTGACGCTTAGCCCATTCACACTTCTTTAGGTTTAACTTGAGTTTTTCTTCTCTCAATTTATTTAGCACAAGTCGAAGGTGTTCAACGTGCTCCTTTTCATTTTTGCTATAAATTAAAATATCGTCTAAATAAATCACAACAAATTTGTCGAGCCATTCACGAAAGAGTTCGTTCATCGTTCTTTGGAAAGTAGCAGGGGCATTCGTTAGACCAAAGGGCAAAACTATGAATTCATAATGCCCATACCTTGTCCTAAAGGCAGTCTTGTGTTGGTCTTTTGGCTCAACCTCAATCTGATGATAGCCGGATTTCAGATCAATCTTTGAAAATATTTTGCTTCCCTGGACGCGATCCAGCAAATCGTCTATTCGCGGTAATGGTTCGACATTCTTTATTGTTATATCATTTAGTCTTCTATAGTCTATACACATGCGAACGCCGCCGTCCTTCTTAGGCACAAAGAACACAGGCGCACCATAGGGCGAGGAACTAGGTCTTATCCAACCATTTTTCAACAACTCGTCGAGTTGGGTTCGCAGTTCATCCAATTCCTAGGGCGACATACGATAGATAGGCCCCTTCGGGGCTCCCCCTTCGGGGGCGCGCTCCCTGGAACGATATCAATGCGGTGGCGGATCGGTCTTTCCACCACACCGCTCGGGGCTTCTGCCACAACTGCGAACTCCTTCAAGATTCTCTCAATTTCCTGAGACCTGACTTCTTCTTTAGTTTCTCTTTCCTTTACTGGGCGCACATATGCAACAAAAACTTGGTCGTACAAATTATACTTCTTCACATGACGGGCGAACGCGGGGGCACTCATACAACAATGAGCCAGGTTGCTTTCCTTACTAGATTCATGAAAGAGGTGGATTTTTTTCTTACCTCCTTGCGGACTTGGAAGCCAACATTCRTGTTCTTTTAACTTTAGATCCGCATGCGCAGCCTCACCCCAATCCATTCCTAATAACACATCAAAGGGCAAGTTATCTTCCACCAAGAAAGTCAGAGAGTGGAGAACACGTTCCACCTTCCCCTCTGCCTCCAGCCGAAAGTATACTTGYACCCCTTCGACGTAGCGATCCATAACGGTTTCACTACTATTTGCYAAYGTACWTACAATGGGCTCACTTAACTTCCTAACCTTAAGYCHARGACRTAGTTTTTGTAACCCTCTTTTACTAATATAACTGCGTGTAGACCCGCTGTCTATCATACCTCCTACTCTTATTCGGTTTACTTCAAGATCTGCAATTATTAGCTGTCCTTTCTTTTTTCTCATTTCAGTCCAGGCTTGGCGACGAGCGGCCAACTCATCACCCATGCCAGCGAGGGATCCATTTAGAGAGATGCATACGTTTGCCACCTCTGGACAGTGTACTAGATGGGAACTTCCTTCCTCTTCAGTCTCTGCTAGTGGAGCCTTCGACTGGGAGGATTTTGATTTTTCAATAGTCGAAGCTCTGGTAGAGGCAACTGACACCTCTACTGGCTGTTCTCTTTTGCCCCCCTATAATCAGGGCAATAGGGGACAATGTGGTCGGGGTCCCCACATTTGAGGCATTGATCTGCCTTTTTTCTTTCGGCCCAAACTTTCTCTGTGATTCCCAATTCTTTCCAAGGCTCTCCTTCCGGCAAGCCTGGATGAGGTGGGTATGGCTTATCCCACTTGTTGTACCATGAGCCTCTTCCTCTACCCCAGGTGGAGTAAGAACCACGACCACCGTATGAGGGACCATTTCCCCTTCCTCCCACGTAGTGGCTTCCTTCACCACCACCTCTCTGGGTGCCGAATCCTCGTCCACCACGGGCGCGACCTCTTCCTCGGCCATGCCCTCTTCCTTGACGCCCTCCCCCGCGGGCTACAACAGCCGCGTAACTCCCCACCTGAGCTACCGGTTTGTTGGGTTCATCGAGACCATAGTCTATTTGGTCCCAAGAAAGTGATTCGACACCTCCTTCTTCAAAGGTCAGAAGGAGGTTGTCTTTCCCAGGTATTGATCCTGAGATGGTGCGGTTTTGCCATCTTTTGCCCGCTTGCAGATCTTTCCAATAGTGGCAATAGTTAGCTTCAGCCAGAAATCCTGCATGGTCTAATGCAATCTTACTAAATTTTTCATAGGTCATCCCCTCCTCTTTAGTGCGGGGATATAACTGAGTTCGGACGGGATCAGGTAAGGCGCGAGCAAAACTATTCAAAACCTGAGCCGGGGTTAACCCATGTTCGGTGCACTGTAGCAATTCATCCATGGTAGCTTTTAGTGCTGACGTGCTTTTCCATTTCCTGTCAGGAAGGTTCAAGATTAACATTTCTGTTCTTCGGGCGAGATTCTTATCTTCGAACCTCTCCCTGACGACTTTGAGAAAATCTTCAATATGGGTTTGTTGGGAAAACTCTACCATTGAACTACATCCTGCTTCCTTTTGTAACGAGATGGCAAAACTCATCGCGTCACCGGCCATGCACGAAGTGACCATCAAGACCCTATCCCAATAGGGAATCCGTTGTCCGTAGACATAGGACTCTACAACCGCCATCCAATGCAACACGCTTTCTTCCTTTTTGCCGGTGTACGTCCATGAAATTTTAACTTTAATTTTGTTGTTGGTCCCAGCTCCTTCTTCTCGCCGTCTTCCCTTTCCTTTCTTATCTCCGTCGCCTCCATCCCCGTCTCCGTCACCACCTCCCCCTCCGCCGCTGCCCTGCACTATTCTCTCAATCACGGCTGGAGTGAAGGTTTGAGTGAGATGATCATCCAGTTTGTTGATATAGGACTGAATGTGCAGATCTACGTCCTTGGCGGACTTCTGCAGAAAAGTGTTCCACACATTTTCAAATTTCAGTTGATTCGTTTCAACTTTCTGCAAGGTCCTATTGATTGCAGCAACTTCCTGTTTCGTATGGAGAACTGTTTCAGTTAGGAGGGCGAGTTTTTCTTTAGTAGCCGCTTGCTTTTCCCTTTGTGCCTGCAGCTCGCTGTGTAACCTCGCCCCCTCTGCTTGCAACTTCTTTCTATCATCAAGCTCTTTGCGCTTTGTCGCTAACATCTTGCTATGTAGTTCAGTGTGTTTTTCTTCCAGCATCAGTTCTCTCTCCCTTTGATCTGTTACTAGTGCTAGCCTTGCTATGAATGTGTCTCGTTCTTCTTCTGTCTCTTCTAACTTGTCACTGGAATAAGAATACTGGTCATACCAGTCCAATGGCTTGATAAATACTTCTCCCCGGACCTCACTTGTCTCGCCACTTTCTGCACGCCGCCTGATAAGTCTCTCTCCCCCTTCTTCAGAGGCTTCTTCTTCTTCCTCAATGGTCTGCAATTCATCTTTTATTTCCTGTTCCCACTTTTCCTTTAACTTCCTCTTCATCTCCTCTTCTTCTAACCGGGTTTTTTTCTTTAACTCTTCTTCTTTCTTCTTCTTTCTTTCTTCTCTTTCTTTTTTCTTTTCTGCCTGCCGGCGGTCAATCTCTGCCTGCTCAGCAGGTGTGGGCCCTGGCTTCACTGCTCCTGATCGCATCATCATGCGGGATGTGCACGCGCGTCCGAACCCCAGTGGGAATATGAACCTGAACAGTGGGCCCCACAAGACAAAGAGGGCCAACAGACCCTGAATGGGATAGTCATCCATGATGACTGCCGACACAGGAGACCCTCCGCCGGATCACCAAGATACTATTCCACTTACAGACTTAGTTTTGACTTGCGGTAATGGAGTACTATACTGCCTCTTTCCCTTTTCGACTGTAGAAGGTGCTGCGTACTATCAACAATAGCTCAACCTGCAATGAACTTTGAATATGTCCTTTTTTTT